ACCGAATCATCTTTTCCCCCGGCAACTCCAGACCCTTTGAACATGAACATCATTATGAAACTATCGAGACATAAATCACACAAAAGAATGTGACCATAAAAGAAAGTAACAGGACATGGCTTGGTGCCGCCCGTGGTCACGCGCGATAAGCGCTAGCGACGGTTTGAGCCATTTAACCAATAAAACATCATTTTTCCTCGACCATCATCAAGTGACTGAACATAAAAGGAGGTAAACTGATCATTTAAACATAAATGGTTCGAGAGTTTCCGGGTAAAACAATAAGTTATTCGATCACGATTTAATTTAGGCATATTCGAACTTCAACACGGCAATACTAGTAATTCTTGAACATGACTCGAACACTTCAACCTAACATGAACTTATTGACATGAAAATATATTGAGGATGGCTATACCTTTTGAAATACTCGTCAGAATCGCAACCTGACTATGCCTCGTGTGCGTGTGCCTTATACGCGATAGCTTGTCGTGCGATGCTGTACGTATTGCCGTGCGTGAGGTGTGAGCGGCCTTCTCAAAGCTTGCTGATCTTAAGGACTAAAATACATATATGGGCTGAATATAAGGAACGAAGTGGGGAAAAATTTCCAATTCTCTATGCTATATATAGAGAGGGCCGAATGGAGTTACAAAGTTGGGGTGATGATGACTTAACGTGGCCTTATTTGTACCCAACACTTGCTCTTTAATTGAGAGACTTAGCATGACTAATCTTCCCAATAATCCTCTCATAAGGACACGTGTGATGGTAATAGGATTGGGAAGAACTTTCCTTCCTTAAGACTTAGGGAAATACTTACCAAATGAGGAATTAATTTGGTGCCTACCCTACGACTTTTCTTAAGCAATTGGAGTATTTGGACAGCTTTGATGCTTAATCAATGATTAATTACTAATTAGTCCCTTAAGTTATGTTTAATTGTTTAATTAAACATAATGCTTAATTACCAAAATTATTCCGAACGTAAACGATACACCGAAAATAATTTTCGGTAATCTCGACTGAAAATAATTAATTCCGAAAATAATAATCGATAACGTTATTATATCGGAACTAGAACATAATTTATACTGATAAAATATCGGGATATTACAATCCTCCCTCCTTACAAAATTTCCGTCCTCGGAAATTCAAAACATAACTGAGAATACATGAACTATGTACATAAGATAAGGAAATATGTACATCAAAATTGAAAATCTAGAAAACGAGCGCGAATATCGGACTCTTCCTCCCAAGTAGCTCCGTGGCGATCCCACTGAATACGCACGAGGGGAATATCTCACTTCCGGAGCCTACGAACCTGACGGTCCAGTACAGCTACCGGTCGCTCCTCGTACGATAAGTCTGGCTGAACCTGAATATCGGTATAAGGAATGACATGATCGGGGTCGCACACGTATTTACGCAACATAGATGCGTGGAAAACATTATGAATGCCTGATAACTCGGGAGGTAGGGCCAATCGATACGCGACCTCGCCCACTCGC